GCCGGGGAGCGGCGGGGGGCGCCGCGCCCGGCCGGGGGGCGGCGGCGCCATGTGGAGCGGCCGCAGCTCCTTCACCAGCCTGGTGGTGGGCGTGTTTGTGGTGTACGTGGTGCACACCTGCTGGGTTATGTACGGCATCGTCTACACTCGCCCGTGCGCCGGCGGCGGTAACTGCATCCAGCCCTACCTGGCGCGGAGGCCCAAGTTGCAGGTGAGCGCCCGGGTGGGGCCCTTCTCGCCTGAGTGCGACCCGGGGCTGGGCAGGGGTGTGGGCTCTCCCCACCGGAGCCTCCTAACCTGATCCGTGGCCTCCCCTCCCCCAAATCGTGGTGGCCCCCGGGCAGGCTTCAGGCACACCCCTTGTCACCCCAGAGTCGGTGTGCCCCTGCCCTGCTGTTTCAGTCAGCTGCACACCTTAGCAGGTTGTCCTTTTGGGGAAGACACGTCAGATACAATTGTCCTTTCAGGGCAGAGTCCTGACCCTGTGGGAGTTGAGAGGAGGCCGTCCCCATGGGCAGCACCCCCTCGCCGTAGCCGTGTGTGTTCTGGCAGGGGCCATGCCAACCTAATTTTCTTGGCATCCTTTCCAGCTGAGTGTGTACACCACCACACGGTCCAGCCTTGGTGCTGAGAACAACGTGGATCTCGTCTTGAACGTGGAAGACTTTGATGTGGAGTCCAAGTTCGAAAGGTGTGGTTATGGGACAGGGTGCCAGTGATGGAGTGGATGTCACTAGACGTCTAGATCGTTTCAGAGTTAGTGTTTGTACGGAACAAGGTTCTCTTAGAGAAGCCGTATCACTTCCTGTCTTGTGAACAGCGGAACATTTTAACTGGAGACTGGTGTGTGATACGTGAACAGTCAGGCTTTTGTTTTACTCGAAAGTAGCAGATGAGTTTGCCATGTAGGAAGCAGCTGACACCAGCATCGGGTGCTGTGGAATGTGCAGCAGCCATGGGAGTTTCTGAAGGAGTGGGTGTCGCAGTGGGAATGTCGTGGAGGTCGGGTTGTTGCTGCCGTGTCCCATAGCAAACGACCCATCTCTTTCTAGCGGAAGGAGTTTCACATCTAACTATGGCTCTAGTGCCTAAGGTTTCAACAAGCGTAACTTTAAAAATGACGTGCTCGTTAAGAGTCTTCCTGTTCCTTCTGCGTCGTCTAAGAAGTATCAACTATGACGGGAACGTGTACTGTCATACTGGAATGAACGCCCTCTAGCCAGCCTGCCCTGTCAGCTGCAGAGGTGGTGCAGCAGACAGGGGACACACATACTTTGGGTCAGCCTCTGCCTGCCTGTGACCTAGGCGAGTGACTGATCTCTCTGAGCACTGAGAAATGGAGGCAGGAAATGCAGGCTTTTCAGAATGTTTTAGAAAACGTTCTGTAAACCTCCGCACCTAGGACTCTAAGTAAAGTTACAGACAGGTGGGTTTCACTTCCAGTACTTCTAAGCTAAAATTAGTGGGTATGAAACAGTGTAACTCATAAAGATGTTTGAGTAGCTTTCACTGTGTGTTTATAGTGGAATAAAAGCACGCATGTTTGAAATTGTAATTTGTCTTATTTCAGGACAGTTAATGTTTCTGTACCAAAGAAAACAAGAAATAACGGGACGTTGTATGCCTACATCTTCCTCCATCACGCTGGCGTTCTGCCGTGGCACGACGGGAAGCAGGTGCACCTGGTGAGCCCTCTGACCACTTACATGGTCCCCAAGCCGGAGGAGGTCAATCTGCTCACCGGGGAGTCTGCTGCACAGGTGAGCATCAGCACCAGGTTACCAGCCCAGCGAAGCCACGCTGCCGCTGGAATTCGCACTCGCATCCCTGCACGTGCCGCCTGCGTCCAGGGCCAGAGTGATGCTGGGATGCGAAGCGGTGTGATGTTGTTGGCGAACATCTTTCAGCTGAATAATTTCCCTTGGGTTTGCAGATATTTTATGTCAAATCAGTAGCATGAAATTTAAGTAATTCACTGACATTCCTTACCCAGGTCTCTCCTTGGGTCCTGGGCCCTTTCAGCTCCCAGGGAGCGTGGGTGCAGGGTGGCCCCTTCTCTGGAGCTCAGCTGCAGCCATCACTTGAGTCGAGGAACTCACACGGCACCCCGTATAGGACAGGTCCTGACTGTTCGTGCTGAGATACACCTTAAGAGTGTTGAAAAGGCGTGTGCGCAGATTATATCATGCATGTCTGTGGAAAACTGCGTGTACCAGGAGACACCAGGAATCTTACCAGCGACCGTTCAGAGCCGTGGGTGGAATTCTGGCGCGCGCGTGGGGTGGGAGGCGAGGTCAGTTACGAGCAAGGCCGTGTTGGCCACGCCGCTCCACGTCCACGTGCAGCGACGGCTCTCTGTGGTCGGGGCAGGTTTTGGAAGCCTTGCCAGCCTGCTCCGACCTCTCCCATTTTGCACTCCCTGCTTGCTGTGCGTCCTTGGGAAGACCCCTCGTCTCCTGTCACACGTGGACAGTGTGGCCCTGCCTTGTGGGGCCTTCCTAGGAGTTGAAGGTGGCGGGTGTAAAGGGTGTGGAGGGGTCTTTGGGATGTACAAATGCCAAGTAAACGCTAGCCGTTACTATTTTTTGGGACGCCATTTTTGGTAGAAATCGTGACGTGAAAACATGTCTTTAGGTGGGAGATTAACGAACGTGCTGTTCCCGGGACTTACCGATTAGATCCGAGATAGAGATCTTCCCACCAGTCGGTTTCTTCCCGAGCTTTGTCAGTTGGGACAGGAGCTCAGCCCGTGCCCCCGGTGTGGAGGCAGTCTTGCCCGGTGTCACCGCACACACAGGGCACTCAGCTGCAGCTTTCCTGCACCCCCGCCACTGTCCTGCGGACTCGCCCGCCCACCTCGGGATCCCTGAGGAATGTGCCTGCTTCGGTGGAGGACCCAGGACGGGGGTCAAAGAGATCCCCGCATGTCACTTCTGCGGAGGAGGCACGAGGGGTGTGCGAGTCTGGGCCTGGCAGCTGGGGCTGTCCCCAGGCGAAGGTGCCGACCGGCCTGTTGCCATGCTGTTCGCTCAGCCTGGCCTCTTCCTGATGCGTCCCTCC